CTGGAACCCAGCCAATTGATATTTCTTCCATTTCTTGATATGATATCCATGGCTTGAAAAACATTAAGAACATCGTATATTCTTCGTGTAGCCTTTTCCTAGTAGGAAATCAACACACCACATAATGTCTGGAATTGGTTAACCACAATTTGTTGTTCATCATTTTATTTTGAAATCCGTGCCAAATGTGTGCATTCACGAAGTGTTTGGCTATAATGACTCACCTTATCGGTGATTTGGGAACTTGTCAACTTACTATGTATCTCTTCAAGGATCTGAAACGAATTAAAATCAGAATTTAAATATTTATTTCGTATCTAACTTCCACTTCAGCCACTGTCTAAATAGAAAGGTGAATCAGCATCTAACATGTTTTGGGATAGCTTTTCCCGATAAATTTTATCTGTCCCAGTCGAGAACATTTTTGGAGGCACCTCACCAACATCAGATACATGATATAGAAATAAAGGAAAGTTATAGTGCTAGGAAGGAGGTAATTCCAGGAGAAAGAACCTTGGAAATAAACTCGGAAAAATTTTAATTAAAATGTTTGACCTCGCTGGGATTCGAACTCACGACCCTCGGATTTGTACTACCGTTGCTCTTGTAGCTGAGCTACAAGGTCAAACTGGGAGCAGGTTGGGGTGAACATCAGATGGGTCTGCTTCGGTCCTTGTTTAGTTTGCCTTTCCCTGTATTCTAAGGATTCTTTTCATTGTGAGTCAGTGATACGTTTGACATCTCCCCAGGTCATTTGCCGTCCGTTCTTGGCGGCCACGTAGATCAAAATGGACGGTGTTGTTCAACCACAAAGTATTCACGAGCGTTCAGTTTATGGAAACGCCGAGGAGATCATTTTTCGGATATTTCAACCTCGCTAATCGGTGCAGCAGCTTTATCTTTGTTGCCTTAATTTTCCTGCCTTTTTAAGTTCCTTTTCTGAGAGATTTTTGATTGAGTTCAAAGTCTTGTTAATACTTAAAGGATATTTGTTTATCAGACTTCTAAGGCTTGTTTGCTCATATTCCTCTCCATCCTTTCGTCTAACTGAGCAATAAAATCAGCTAGATATGTATCTGTCTCTTATGGCTGTATTTCGTGAACTTTTTTTTCCTCTCTTTCGGTTTTGCTTTTGGTATTTTTGTTCTGCAGACTTAATCCTCTACTGTTTTTTTAAGAGTTACAAAGTTACCTTCCATGTATAGATATTGAGAGGCCTCCTTGTAAGTAGATGAAAACCGACGGCATGAGAGTAGAATCGTCAAACGCTTGCGAGCGACCAAACGTTAAGAGCTAAGAAGTCTCTCAACTACAGTATCGTAAGTCCAATCAGAACAGTGAACTAAGTTTCTTCATGGTGAAAACATCGTTCGTTTCTCTGATTAATCTAGTTGACCTATCGAAAATTTCTTGAATACTGTTACACTGAATATGTCTCAGTATGCATATAATAGAAAAAGTTATTTTGGCCTTTAAAAGTCTCGTTTTATATGTGAGGATTGATATCACAAACGAGCGATAAAGAATTAAGACCCATCTGATGCACTGGGTGAATGAACCGCGGCTTTCTTGTCGAGATATTTCCACCAGACCCTTTTTGTTATGTACTCTCTCATACAGCCTTTTTCACAAATTATGAGACATTTTTATATATATAAATATACCTAACCAAATATMAAWARCAMCCCAGAAATTATGGTATATCTCTATTATATTTTGTCATGATTGCCTAGCATCAGGTTGTTACAGACAAAATATCAACGACGGTATCCCATAATTTCTTGGGTGTTTTTGATATTTGGTTAGGTATATTTATATATATAAAAATGTCTCATAATTTGTGCAAAAGGCTGTATACGTAGTAAATATTGCTATATTTTGTCCTTGAAGTAAAACCAAATTTATAAAAACTTTCGATCGTTTCATGTTGTTATGAAGATACCTGATTGAAAAAAGGAAGCCAGATTCCCAAAGRTTACATCATGAAGACCGAAAGTATGATTCTTTTCTACGAGTAATGCTACTCCAGAACAACAACAGATCAATTGATAAAGCATATCATCGACCAAGCTAGTACAGCGCAGATCAGTGACAGTACACTACTTATTAAGAACTCCAAGAGAAACATTGTTAAAGCAAGAGAGGAACACAACGATACCATCTTACAGCAGCTTCGAGCTAAGATGAGCCCTGAACAACTAAGAGCAAATGACCTAGCCATTATGAAAGGTGCCTCGAGCTGGCTGACTACATTGCCATTAAAAACAGAAGATTACAATCTTAACAAGAGGGAATTTTATGACTCACTCTGCCTCAGGTACCGTTGGACACCAAAGTACCTACTGCCTGTATGTCCATGTTGTAAATTGACTCTTCTGTGGTAGACTGTAGTTTATTTAACTCAACATGTACACATGATGTAGGTTAGCGAGCGAACTAACGAACTAATTTACATATGACAAATATTACATGTGAAACTGTCAATCAACTGAACTAATTATATATGCACGTATCATTACATCCCCCTCTCTTTACAAGCGTCTTATAAGTCTAGTTTTGCAGGGGGCCTTACAACACGTCTATGTCTAGTGGTATAATGACAAGGCGTGCTTGAGTCCTTGTTGCTGTGTTGTATCTGCTCATTGTTTTGCGGTCTTGCTGTCGTGTCGTGTCTTTGTGCTGTTGTATCTGGTCGTAGGTCAGATCTGGTTCTGCGGTACACCGTGTCGTTATCTGTCCTCTTTACAAGGTAGGATCTTGGTTCTTTAGCTGGCTGCTGTACCGTCGMTGGTTCCCAGGTCTTCCTCTTGTGGTCATACATACGCACTGGTTGCCCATCYCGTAGKGGCTGTTGTAGTGGTCGGACATTCTGATTGTAGTATTTGCCCTGATCTTCCTTCCTTTCAAGTAGACTTTGTCGTATTTGGTCTCTATCATTCCCAGTATGGAAGGCTCTTTGCGCAGATGGTACAGTTGTCTTGAATTTACGACCATTGAGGAGTTCTGCTGGTGAYTTAAGRTGGCTATCTACTGGTGTTGTTCTGTAAGATAAGATTCCCAGGTAGGGGTCATCACCTTGTTCGTCGCATTTCYGCAGGATGTTCTTAATGGTTTGCACCATTCGCTCAGCAAATCCGTTCGACTGTGGGTAGAGTGGTGAACTAGTCACGTGGTCTATGCCATACGTTGCTGTAAAGGAYTTGAATTCTCTGCAGTCATACTGTGGTCCGTTGTCTGTCATAAGACGCGATGGTATACCGTGTTCAGAGAATATACTCTTGARGTGGTTGACGATTGCTGCTGAGGTTGTACTGGTAAGTTGGCGTATAATAGGAAACTTGCTGTACTGGTCTGATACAAGCAGGTAGGTTTTACCTTTGAAATCAAATAGGTCAGAACTGAGTGTTTCCCATGGTCGACTTGGAGTGTCAGGTTGCAGAATTGGCTCTTTTCTGTTCTTCTTTTGATACTTTTGACATGCGTTACAGTGTTCAACAAGTTGCGTAATGTCTTTCGTGATCCCAGGCCAATATACACAGGATCTTGCTTTAAGGAGAGACTTCTCAATGCCTAGATGACCTTGATGTATTGAAGTTAAGATGTCAACTCGTAGTTTAGGCGGGATGACAATTCTGTCTTGCTTGAGTAGAATTCCATCTTCTATGGTTAGTTCTTCTCTGAAGTTCCAGTAGTCATGTAATGGAGTTGGGCATTCACTTCGTCGGCTTGGCCATCCTTTGAATACGGTCTCCCTGAGTAGAGACAATGTTGGGTCTCTTTCTGTTTCTTCTCTGATCTGTTGAAGCTTTGTGGGCGTGGCAGGCAGGGTTTTCGTGATGCAGTGAACATCAATCCTTGGTAGTTCTCCTACGGTTGGTCCTGTCTGTGGTGTTATTCTGGACAAAGCATCAGCTATTGGGACGTTGATTCCCTTGACATATGTGACTGTGACATCATACTTTAATGCGCGGAGGACTAGTCTTTGTAGTCTTG